GATACTCATGGGATATTCGATCATATGCCTTCTCAAAGTCAAGAACTGCCATCAGCGCATCGTCGGAGTTGTCGCTTTGACCTGTTTCCATTGTGCATTGCATGGCTGCAATGTTTTCGTCAATTTGTCGTCCCGGAATGAAACCTGTCTGTGTTGGCTTAATTATTGAGCCAAGAACCGGTGCGAGTCGCCGGTTGTGCGCTTGACTGAACAGACGTTCGTCAGTGTTGATGAGCGAAACGGGTCTCTTGTTGGCTAAGTGAGTGCCATCGAGTTCCCCTTTCCTCAGCAAATGGAAATGAGATTCCGTTTCCGGCAGCATGGCTAGGTCCTGTGAAGGCAGGGAATTCAGCGCTGCCAGGAGAATGGGACCTGATACATCCCAGGTGATCTTGTAGAACTGAAAAGGTAAACCGTCAGGTCCTGGACTTGAGCGAGCGTTGCATTTTTTCAAGGCTGTCCACAGTTCCTCCAGCGTATAGTCGGCTTCTAGCTGCTGAGCTTGCTGAGCATTCAACTGTTGATGGCGTCGAATGGAATCCAACATGGTCGTGCGAGGCCACTCGTCACTTGGTTTGAGTGAGTAGAGATGAGCGAAGAATCGACGACCAGCTGCCAACAAATCTGTTGTCTGTGTTAACTCCTGTCCATCTTCAATCAGCATGGGGATTAGCGACTGCTGTCTGACTTGTCGGAGCCGAATCTTTACGGAGCCATGTCCCGTCAAGTGCGGTGGTAGTCGAGCCCTGATTGCCGCGCTGTCGTGACGATTTCGTTCAAAACGGCCGCGATCGTGTTCTCTGTCAAATTTCGCCATTTGCCGGGCAAACTGAGTGAGACAAGGATGAAGGGCAACCTTAGTTACCAACCACGCTTTCCAAGGGTCAGCGGGGTGAAGTGCGATCGACTCAGCATGTATTCGGGTAAGTAGGCTCTTGAAGAAGACCTCGTTGTCGTCAAGTAGGTGAAGGCCCAGCTTGAAGCTGTTTGGTCCAATCTCAAGCGCCCCCGGAAGATTGAAGTGCCACGCCACCGGCGAGTGCGTCGAAGGAGTAATCTTGGCTGTCGAGACGTATTGCCTGTCGTAGAAGGGAAGGAAGCCTGGGGACGAGTAGAGTCGATCTAGCCGTCGCTCGGCCGCGTTCGCCATGGGCATCTTGTTGGTTGCCACATGTTTGCGTGGCACAAGGTGTCGATAGATATCGGTCACTCCGAGATGCAGAGCCATGGCTCGCATGTGAGCACCATCGTCCACCTCTGTGGGGTGGTTTGTGTCAGTTATGTTGTTCTCCACGCAATTCCAGTCGCCCCCGATCAGCAGCTGGCTGTCTGGACGTGGACGAGCTGCCAACAGTTGTGCAAGGTCGTCGAGGAGAGCCTCGCGTCGGTGACCTTGATCTCCGCCGCCGGAATGTGCGTACACTCCGACCACGGTTGTCAAGCAGTCGCCTAGAATGAAGGTCGCATCACAGACGCGCTCCGGGTACATGCTATTGTTTGTTGCAGCGTTCTCCGTGTCCTCGACCAGCGATAGACCAGGGTATTCGGTTTGCCACACGAGAGCCACTTGCCCCTGCAGGCGAAAGGTAGAAGAGAAACCGTAGGCAGTCAGCTCAGCTGACCACTCTTGCAAATCGGCAACAGATCTGGGCCCGCCCGTTTCTGTTAGTATGAATACGTGAGCATGTTGGCCCGCCAACTTTGAGAAAAGAATCCGACGTTTCCGACCATCCAAAATGCTCTGCACATTGATGGTCATGATCTTAAGGTTTGGGACGTTACGCATCCTGATTCATCTCGTCATTGTTGCCTCCGGACGCCGAGGCGGTCAGAGGAACCAATTTTGGAGCGGCAGGAACACGTTGCTTGCGTGGCGATGGAGGGCCTCCCTGAGACACCTTCTGCGCAACGCCGGCCTTTGAAGTGTTAGTGGTTTTGGGAGAGGATTGATTGCCTCTTGCCTGAGAAACAGGCGCAGCTGCGCCACTCTCTCCCAAAGGAGGTTCGGTGGGGTTTTCCGCTTCGTTTTGTTCCGTCGTCCCACGGCGAGCACTGGCTGCAGCGGCCTCTGCCGCCCTGATGGACTCCCGGAAACCGACGCTTGAATCCCCGACGTCTGGGCCGAAGTTGAAGGAGAGAGGTGACTCGACTCCTGGTTGTGTTCGGCGCTGGCGCTTGGTGCCTCGCAGCAAAACTGTGTTGCGATCGGTGAGAGGCTGAGGTGAAGCTGAGGTTGAGGGTGGCGGTGGAGGCTGAGACCCGGCTTGAGGATTCGTAGGAGCAGGCACTGCCTTGCGCAAAGAGCGGCATGCCCTAGAAGCATGAGAACGTTGCTGACAATGGCTGCATTCGGGAGCTGTAGGACAGGCGCCGCGAAGGTGGTCAGTCTTTCTACAGTAAGAGCAGAACTTCGTTTCAGAGAAACGGCGGATAGAAAGAAACACTGAAGTGTCTTGAACCTGGCCCTCGTGTGCTATAAGCAGCCTGGAGGGTGGAACTTTATCCTGATTCGAGTTGTCGATGGCGAAGTGGACGTTACCATCCAACATGCCCGATTTCGTGCAGCGCCCTGCAACTAGTCGCAGAACGATGCCGAAATCACTCAACATGGCCTTGATGGCGTCGAGAGCCGACGCTGAGGCCATGCAATTGGAAATAGTACCCTCAAGAATCTTGAGGGGCTCTGTGGAATGGTGAATAGGTGTCAGTGACACCTTGCAGTCGCCTACAGCGAAGCCGTCCGTCAACAAAGACGCGACGGTTTCGGCTGTAGCCGACTCCGAGAGGTGAAGCACGCGATGACCGTGCTCGGATAAGAATAGAGAGTCCTTCAGATCGGGAAAGGACTCAGCGAAAGCCGTGCGTGTGTCCGTGATGGACAGCGACGCCGGCGCGACGACGTGGAACGCATTTCTGCGCCCCGTTACAAGAGGTATAGTCTTTTGTACTTTGTCAGGTGGTTTACGTTGTTGTACAATGTTGGCGTACACGGTGGGCCTTGAAGCCATTATGCTGATTGGTATGTTGCTGTTTGGTTATGAGCCACAACTCTTGAATCTATCAGTAAAAGGCGGATGGATTATGTGATTGAGTCATGATTCCCATACGGGATATTTTTTTGTGTCGGGTAATTGAGTCTATAAACGTTCTGCTTGACTGGCCTTCCGTCAGCTTCTATAGCTCAGTTGGGAGAGCGTACGACTGAAGTTTCAGTCTTTGAAATCGTAAGGTCCCTGGTTCGAACCCGGGTGGAAGCACTCTTTTTTTGTGCGGCGGTTCCCTTTCTTTTTTCCTCTGTGATGCCGACTGGAACATGTAGTCATGTAATCCTGGTATGGGATATCTTTGTTTCTCTTTCTTTTTATCTTTCGTTGGCAGTGTCCAAAACACAGAATCATGGCCAAGGCGAGCACCAGTCGGTACCAGTCAGTTGGTTTAGGCGAGAAACTCGGCACCTCATTTCGTCATTGAACGCTGTGCGGATTCAAGCGGCAAGCTCGCCAGCTCGATACAAATCACGTCAGCCTAGGGCAAAGGCACCCAGCGGAGGGTCATCCAGTCGTAGTCCCAAACCGGTGTGATATTGGGAATCACAAAGATGGAGCTGGCCTTGACCAGCATCGGCAAGGTGAGCTCGTCGGCTGACCATGCAAAGTCCGACGCGAAAGCCACGACGACCGCCCGGACGCGCCACTGATGACCACGAGTATTTGTTTTGATGCTCAAGCAGGCCGGCCTCAGCAAGCAGACGGCGAAGAGTGTCCCAGCTTTCCTCAACAAGCTGTACGCGTGAGTTGACACAAGCTGTGGCCGGCGGATTCGCAGTGCAATATCGCAAATGGCCCCATGATACTTCATGCAACCGTATAAGTCAGAGTCCTGACATTCCGCGTGGTTACACGAGCAGCATGGTGAATGATCCAGAGACGGATCATTTGATCCACTGGAGTGACGAAGGTGACTCATTCATTGGTGAGTCACATGTAACCTTGCTCAAATCTCAATAAAGGAGACGGCGGTCGGAAAGGTACGACTTGCTCGACAACTCGTGGCTGATGAATCCGACACAGTGACTTCGGCCGACAACTTTTCTAAGGACGTTCTACCTCGATACTTCAAGCACTCGAACTTTGGCAGCTTTGTTCGACAATGTAACATGTATGGGTTTCACAAGGTACGTTGACAGCCGATCTCAGGTGCACACAGCGGAAGTCGACCCGACACTTCGCCAATCGTAACCGCAGGTCCCCAACTTGCAGCAAGGCGTGCTGCAGCACAATGACTCTGCCGAAGTTCGTGAGTCTATGCAAGGGTCAAAATTCAGTGATCCAGCGCTCATCTGGTCCTGCGCATGAATCGCTTCCAGTCGAATTCTCCAACCCAAACTTCGCACGAGGCCAACCTGATTTGTTGTGCCTCATCAAACGTCAGAAGGGAGGGCAAGTGACGGCGCCGGCGGAGACAGCGGTCGACTTTCCAGCTTTGATCATGGACCTGGCTGCCATCCGAAAGCACCAGACTGCCTTGTCAGCCGAGCTCAAAGATCTGCAGAAGACGAACCAAACGCTTTGGCAAGAAGCTATGCAAAGCCGCGAGCGGCACTCACGACAGCAAGAAACAATCAACAAGATTCTTCGCTTCCTGGCAACTGTTTTTGGTGGTCAGATAGTGGACAATGGGGCTAGTCAGGCACCTCGCGTCAGGCAGAGCTCAGGCGGCGCAACGGTGGAGGAAATGGACAAGGCGGGGTCAGACAGCGGTCGTTCTTCATACGGTGCAGACCGTAGTCGAGTAATCATGCCAAGGAGCCGCAACAGACTGCTGCTTGAAGATGTCAAAGACCGCCGACCTGTCGACAAGTCATCAGGATCGACTTTGAACAAGTCAGGCTTGTCTGAAATCACCGACGATGGCGACGATGGCGACGATGGCGACGATGGCGATGACATTGAAGAGATTCCTCTGCTTCGTGACCACTTGGACCACTTCCCAACTTTGCCCAGCAGTGGTCAGTTGATTTTCGTAACGTTCGAGCGTGTCTGTCGCTTACCGTTCTGCTGTGTTTGCCGGCAGCGGCAAGGCCATTTGAAACAAGTAGCAGAGTTTCGGACTCTTTGATTCCGCATCAACGCTCGAGTGACAACGCGTTCCCGGGGGCGACACTAAGCTCGTCCAGTGGCGCCTTCGACTCGCTGTCAAAAGACGTCTCGCTCTCGCCCGACATCTTGGCAGCGCTTTTTCCAAGCTCGATGTCTCCAGCGCTTGGATCAACACGAGCGCCAGTCACGACAGCATGGCCTACGAACTTCGCCGAAGCGCCCGGTACGTCGACGCCAGATTTCAGTCGCGCTTTGCTGCCATCGCCTCCACATGCGCCAGTCTCAAGCTTGCCGGGAAGCGTGCAAAATGTGTCGTTACCTATAGACTTGCTTGGACAACCAGAGATGTTCCAACAAGACGTTTCACCGTCGTATCAGCGCGCGTTGGCAGAGCAATCGCAAAAATTGAAGGATGTTACGACTGAGAAGGCCGATATCGATCGCCGAACGGCAGCATTGGAGAGTGCCATATCTCGGCTGATGCAAAACTTGCCAGAGCAAGCTCGGGACGCACTGGGCAGGGACGATGCCGCATCACTCGACGAGCTCGCAAGGTCGACCGCGCTTCGAAACGCCAGCGGTCTGAGTCCTCCCGCGGCCTCAGCATGGACCAGTCCGTTTCCAACATCAACAGCAGCAACATCTACGACCGTGGACGATGGTATCGACATCGACCATTTCCTCGAACAATTTGGTGAGCTTTCCAAGATTTGACAAGCGCAGTAGACCTCGAGACTGATATCGAGCTGCCTGCCTGTCACACAGTAAACAGCAACAACCATCAACATGTCAACAGCAGCGAGCTTAACAGTAGCCTGGCTCAAGCGGGCAGCGCAAATGGGTTGGGCAGCAGCAACAGTCCGGGTCTTGGTTTCGACTATACCAACTTGTTCAACTTGAGCGACTTGCCACCATCTGCTTCGATGGCACCTCCCTTGCACTCGTCCACCGCGAGTGGTGCAGGCGCAGGCACGCTCGTCAATTCTGACACGAGCCCTCATTTCGAGGTGTTATCGCCATCAAATTCTGGTGGAGGCACGCCCAGCACAGTGGCCAGTACACCCGCAGCCTCGACTGTCCTGGGAGACGAGGAGACCGATCTCGGCTTCAGCAACAATACGGGAGACAGTCAGATTGGCACGGTGCAGACAAAGCGAGCTACGCGCAAGCGTAAGAGCAATGCGGCTGACGAGGATGGACTGACTAAGGCTCGGCGTGGTCGGAAACGGTGACATGGAGCTCGTCTCGCGGAATAGTGCTTCTTTTTTGAATTGATTTTTTTCTTTGGTTCGGGGTCATCTGCTCTTCTTCGCTGTCACATTTGTTGTTATACATAATAGTCTTCTCCGCAACATCGCCCGTTTTGAGAGCTGACTGACGCCAAACGCTGACCAGACTTCTCATTCAACGACCATGGTAGGCAACACATAAGGCCCAAGTATGTCAATCCTGACTGTTAGACATTGCTGACGCTCCTTGTTTGCTGCTTCGGTGTTGCTGCAGCCTGTTCCGTGGGAGGCCCTCATTCCGTTTGGTCAGTTAGTTGCCTGGGCAGCCTCTGGATCAGGTCAACCACCCCAGCAGACTGTTGGCTAATTTGAAATGATGTTACTTCAGGTCTGTTGACCACCATGTTTGCCATCACTGGTACGGGTTTCTCGGCCGCCAAGCGTCTGACGAATGATGGCAAAGTGCGTCCGAGCGTACACCGTGTCGAATGCAGATGTCAGACAAGCTGACATTCGATTGCAATAATTTGCCGTCTCATAGCCTACTCGGCACACACTTGATCGATGGGAGGAGAACATGATGGAGCGCGATCGACGATTAACTGGAAGCACGCGAGGGCAATCGGTGAGCCATGAATTCGAGTCGAAGTAGAGCACATCTTGGCAGTTGGATGCGGCTGCCTTGCATGCAATCGCCCGAGCGTGCGACAGCTGACGTCGCTCCGAATTCGTAGACGGAACTTGTGGCGCCCGATGGCTTTGCCACCAACAGTGTGTGGGAGACAGAGAAAGTTTCAAAAGCTTTTCTGTAGCGGAGAACCGTCATCACTGTGAATGAGAACACGAATCGGACTCCGCAGGCGACTCAAACGGTCACGACTTTGAGCTCCACAGTGTCGCGCGCCGTTTTAAGCAACAGACTAGCTTTGCACAACGTCACGACAATCGTGATGTGTTCAAATATGTACAACGTGGTTCAGTGTTGCACTTGCAGGACAAACACTCCGTTCGAACGAGGTTGTCGCGGCGGATCGACTGTGTCTGTTGAGCGGAGCAAAGTCTTTCTCGAGTGGCCTAAGGCCTAGATTGGTCGAAATCACACATCGCACGTCTTCCTCTTTTGATGAGCCGTTTGTGCCTTAGGCGAGTGGCGAGATGAGTCTATCGGTGCCAGACAAGACGTCAGCTAAAGTCACAAAAACATCCAAGCGGGTGAAGCCGAAAGCAAGTCCGGCAACAGGCGCGAAAACTCAGACTTACTTGATCAGGTTTGGCTTTGGATTGCTTGATGACCATCCGACGAACAGAATGAGGGGCACCCAGCCGTAATGCACGACCGTCTAGAGAAGCAATGCGTCAGAAAGACGTCCAAGACGAGCGACACACGACCAGCAGCTTGATCATGCCATTCAAAATTTCATCGTGAACTTCGCCCGCTTACCTTGCCAAACTCAATGGAGCGAGCGATTAGTTCCTGCGTCGAGACGGTTCGAAAGAAACACGAAGTGAGCGATGCTCGTCTTGAAACACAGAGAGTCGAGAGAGGCAACAAAGCGACTTCATCAACAACACTGCTGATGTGTCGGCGTACCTTGCTGTCCTCTGACATGGCGATGGCAAGAGGTTGAATCCCGAGTGCGCCAACTTTCTTTGCTTTCTGACCTCATCTCCGTGAGTCAATAACTGTCGCGTACTGGCGTCGCAGCCCAGTTGAGACTACAGCAAACAATGCTTGGCCTACGAATGGCGCTGCAGCGTCAAACGGTCGCAATGAGACCATGCGCAACCCGCTCGAGAATGAGCTCGGCTCTGCTCGCTCAAGGCGCACCTCAGCTGCCGTCTACGATCCATCAATGGCAAAGGCACGCATCCAGTACAAATCAATCATCTAAAGGCCACCCACAGGCTTCGTCTGATGCAGGGACTTCA